CTGTGCCTGTGGTCCCAACTACTCAGGAGGCAGAGACAAGGAGGATTGCTTGAGCCCTTGAGTTGAGGGTGCAGTGAGCTCTGATGATGCCACTGCACTCTAGTCTGGGCAATAGAGGGAGACCTTGTCTCTAAAGAAAAGTCACTTCCGTTGTTTTCAGACCCTCTCTATAGGGAATTTATATTTTGGAGGGAAGGCATTTGTGAAGTTGAACAGTGAAGCTACCAAACTCTTTCTAGAAACAGTGCTCTTCAGCAGTGAGGGAGGTAGCACTTTTTCTAGGTGAGTTCACAGACTTGTCGGACACTGGAGGACAGCAGCTCTGGTGGCCATTCTAGGAAAACGGCTCCAAGGTGGCTCTGAAGGCTGAACCAGGCATTGGAGTCAGTGCATGACTTTCTGAGGGGAACACTAGTGATACTTAGCAGTGGGACACTGAGCACTTTTTCTAGGATGAGCTCACAAACTTAACTGTCCTATGTCACATACTACTTGTAGTTAAGTTTCTTCAAGACATATTCAACTCTTTGAAGAACAGTAATTTGTTTTTAGTTTCTTCTATAGTATCTTAACACCTTACCTTGTCCTCCCTTTTTTCTCTATGATATGTAATTTTAGAGTTAATGCAACTTATTGCAGAGAATTCTGAAGCCAGCCTATTTGCCTTGGTTTGTAGGTAGACTGTTAGATCCTGCCCGGGTGCTTTGTTGGAGTCAGCAGTTATATCAGCCTAACGCTAGGGAGCTGTCTCTTCGAGGAAATTGCACAGTCTGTGGTGCACCTTCATTTTTAAGATACATTTCTCTTGAGCTTCTCTGGTCTGTCTGTGATTACTGCTTCTGTTCCATTTGCTCTGGAATGTCATGTACCTGGATGTTGGCCTTTCTTTTTCTCTGTCCTTGTCATTCATCAGTTTTCTCATCTGTGTTCGGGAGTTTCTTCAGTTTGTTTTCCATGTTAATAATTTATTATTCAGAACAGTTCTGTGCTTTTCTTCTGATGTATTTTTGTTTGTTTGTTTTTTAAATAAGAGATTTCAAGCAAAAATAAAGTGTAGAGAATTTAACAAATACCTGTATACCTTCCCTTCAATGTGGGGCACATTTTAGCATTTTACTGTATTTAATTAAAAAAAGTTTTGGGGGTCAAAAAAAATTTAAAGCCCCCATGTACTCTTCCTTGCCTACAGGTAACTATCTTGAATCTTGGTCTTGTTTGCCTACTTATTATATTTGCATGTGTCAATAAACAACATACAGTAGGGTTATTTTTAAACTTTGTTATGAATGGCATCATACTGTACAATTGTTTCTGTTTGTGATTTCATTGTGGTTGCGATTAGTAAAGTAGAATACCTTTCATGTCTTTATTGGCTATTCAGATCACCTGCACTGAAAATTGTTTTTTTCATATTCTTTGGTTATTTTCTTAAAGAATTATCTTCAAATGATTTGTAAGAATTACTTAGTTAATATTTTTGTGGGTTACATATCTCTTTGTGGATTTCTTTTTACTTTGGGGCATTTGACAAAGGTTAAAATTTGATTATTAATAGAACCCTTTTTTTTTCTTTAGAGACAGTCTCACTTTATCACCCTTAGTAGAGTGCTGTGGTGTCACAGCTCACAGCAACCTCCAAGTCCTGGGCTTAGGCAATTCTCTTGCGTCAGCCTCCCAAGTAGCTAGGACTACAGGTGCCCTCCTCTATACTCAGCTCTTTTTTTGTTGCAGTTTGGCCAGGGCCAGGTTTGAACCTGCCACCCTCGACCTCTTGAATATGGGGTCGGCGCCCTACTCACTGAGCCATAGGCACCGCCCATTAATAGAATCTTTTGATATCTTCCTTTACAGTTGTGTTTGTGCCTTGAGTTGTAGTATCTCTGTACTGACTTTTCGTAGATTCACTGGGTGCTAATATTGTTTAATTCTATAATTATGATTATTTTTATTTTCATTATATCTTTTTTATATTTAGTTCAGTACTTTCAAGTTTTTAATTCTTCTTTGTTCACTTATTCAACTATCAGTCAGGAAACCTGGAATGCCTGTTATGGGCCAGACACACTCTTAAAGTCTGAGATACAGCTATAAATAAAACAAAGTCTGTGTCATGGAGCTCCATTCCTAATGGAGGAAGAGCATGGTAAACACTGTCTAGAAAGTTGATATGTCCACGGATAACTCAGTGCTGTGTAGATACATTTATGAAGGAATATGTATGTACGGAGTATGTCAGGGCAGTATGCTGTTCACAGAGAGGGCAGCAAAGTCCTCACTGGTAATATTTTGAGTAAAAATTTTTATAATGAATTGTGATTATAGGTAGCTCTTTTTCTGTGATTAGAAATAATTTTTGAAAGATTTATAATTTAAATTTCAAGAATGTGCTTTGTGTTCTAATAATCCTGTGGGGATGCTGTATGAACAATGCCAATTTATTTCTGAGTTGTTATCAAATTTATTTTTTTTCTTATTGAACTTCTAATAGTTTATATTAATATTTCAAGAACCATGTTTAAATAAATTACTTAGAAAAGGAACTCTTTTGGGGGGACTTTATTATATATGAAAATTTTCTCTTCACTACACTAAAGGTTTTCTTATACATTTTTATTTCTCCCTTGGTCTTATTTTTAGAAAAATTTGTCAAAAATATTTTCATTTTTATTGCAGTCAAAATATGCTATTAATTTAAAATGTATTTAGGGTGGCGCCTGTGGCTCAGTGAGTAGGGTACTGGCCCCATATGCTGAGTGTGGCAGGTTTGAACCCGGCCCCGGCCAAACTGCAACAAAAAATAGCCGGGCATTGTGGCAGGTGCCTGTGGTCCCAGCTACTTAGGAGGCTGAGGGAAAATAATCGCCTAAGCCCAAGAGCTAGTTGCTGTGAGCTGTGATGCTACGGTAATCTACTGAGGGCGACAAAGTGAGACTCTGTCTCTAAGAAAATAAATAAATAAAAATTAAAATGTATTTAAAAATACTTCTTAATGAAAAAATATTATAGTTAAAATTGTACCTCATAATTATGTTTTCTACAAAGCCCTACTGCCTTTTCTTCCATTGCACTACTCATTTGATGACAGGGAAGATAATTTTCCACTAGAATTGCTTATCACTTTATTCTTGTACTTTTGAAATAATACTATTAAACAAGTCTTCTAATTATGAAGTGTAAAAGAGCATATTTTAAAAAAATACAAAACATTTAAAGGGAATACATATCCCGGCAATAAGATTTAGCAGTCACTCATGTAGCATATAGCATCCAGAATTGGAATAATCATACGTAATGTTCTGAGACATTTTTGATGTATGGTTAATATTTTTCCTTGTCTTAAAATGTTCTCAAAGACCAGGGCATTTAGCAGCTGTGTGTGGTAGTCTGAATGTTATTGAATTTATTACAAATTACTTATCTTTTTTTTTTTTTTGAGATGGAGTCTCACTATGTTGTCCTCAGTAGAGTGCTGTGGAGTCACAACTCACAGCAACCTCAAACTCTTGGACTTACGTGAATTCTCTTGTCTTAGCCTCCCAAGTAGCTGGGACTACAGGCATTCCCCACAACACCCCGGCTATTTTTTTGTTGCAGTTATCATTGTTGTTTAGCTGGCCTGGGCTGGGTTCAAACCTGCCAGCCTTGATGTACGTGCTATAAGTGCCTCAAATTACTTATCTTAGTGGACTTGTTTGTACTTGAAAGGACAGTTATCACCTTTATTCCATAATCACTTGTTAATATTAAATTGCTACTTAATTTTATAAGGTTTTGCTTAGTGTTATTCATAGTTATTTTTTATTTCAATATTCCCTTTTAACAGAGAAATATAGTATTTTTATGTGTGGTATTAAGTGGTGCTATCTTATATTTTGGGTTTTTATATGGGTTGTGTTTATCTAGAAATTAATACATACTTTTATATTTATGAAAATAATTTTCTATAGTTTATGTCTTTTATGTATAACTAAACAAAACCAAGTATTTAGATTTTTACTTGAAAAAAAGCTTGTTTTCACTTTCACCCTCTGATACTATTCCACTCCTATCCTCATGCACCATAACTGATTTTATTTAAACTGTCTCTTCAGTAACTGGTCATACCATCATTTAGTAACATTTGTAGTCTTCTTTAAATTCTGTATGTCATTTGTAATATTTCTCAAAAGTGAAAATGTAGAGGGAAAAGGAGTTGATATAATATCTGATAAAAAAACCCAACTGAACATAACGACTTGTGTATCTAAATAGTTTTGTTATATGAAATTATCTGAAGTAACCTCTTTTTTTAGTCTTTTATGTGAACAATTACTTCCCACTGAATTGTTTGCAGAATTTCCATATAATCTTGCTCATAACTATTTCTCCGTTATTTATATCATCTTTCAGGAGTTTTTTTTTTATTAAGTATTTCGTCTTTCAGAAGTTTTTACTGTGTAAGCTGAAGTTGTTTACTGTTTTGTAGATCTGTATCCTCCAATTCTTTTTACGTGACACAATACATCGTATAGTCAATTCTATAATGTGTTGAAAGGTGCTATACTGTTACAGCCTTAAACTTTAAAAAATTTTGATTATTGAAATTTGGCTTATGACTTTCCATTTCAGGACTGAGTGTTCTCTGGTTTCTTACTGCATTGTTTTTACACCTTAAAGCTTTTTCACTGGCACTAGACTTGTTAACTGAGTCTTTGGGTTTATCTTCATCTGCTGAAGATTATTAGTTTCAAGCTAATAGTCTACATTTTATTGATGTGTGCACTCAGTCTACTTTAAGTGTGGGAGAAAGTTCCATGATTCCAACTAGCCTGGCGTGTCATTTAATTGGATGTTAACCCAATTGCCTCCTTTGACTGTAAGGTTAAGACACATCTAAGTGACATGAAACATTCAGTGCATCCCATACTGTCAAAATACTGGGCAACAGTGGTGACTTGGATAGGTCGGCTAATTCTCTGCCTTGATTTTACATCCCACCAATGCTCTTATCTCCTTCCTAGCGGAAGAGAAAGCCAATACCCACCTCCTCCTGGGCATGTGCTTAGATGCCTGTGCTCGCTACCTTCTGTTCTCCAAGCAGCCATCACAGGCGCAAAGGATGTACGAGAAAGCTCTGCAGATTTCTGAAGAAATACAAGGAGAAAGACACCCACAGGTAAGGGAGAAAAACATGGTAAAATAAGGGCTTCAGCATTGAAGGGTGTGAAATGCAACACTCATCAGGAGGAAAATAAGCAGGTGGTCCCAGATATTCCTCCTCACATTCCAGTTGCTTCATTTTCTTACCCTCAGTTCTCCTTCCCCTCAACTACTTGTTTCAAACAGGATTTGGGACTGCTGATCAATGATGACTGAGTTTGCTCAGAACTTTTTGTGAGTCATGAGTCACAGCTATACAGCAGACCACGCTTTCTACAAGGCAGGTCTAGCTGGCACTTTTGTGACTTCAGAGGACACAGTGCAGAATTTCAGAACTTATAAGGAACTGTTTAATATATGAATATCCTTATTTTTCTTGCCCCACAGTTAAGTAGCAGGAGGAGGTAGGGAAGGAATGAGGGACTGCATTAAAACAATT